TATATATATATATATATATATATATATAGTAAAGCTATAAAGACACTCACAGAAATGATACACACCAAATTCAGGTTAATAGCTTCCTTTGGGACAAAAGAGGCAATTGAATCAGGCAGGAATATACACACATCTGTAATTTTTTACTTTAAAAAGTTGGAAGCATTCATGGTAGCCTTATTTTATCTCCCATCACATCTTTTTTAAGCACCTCCTCCTCTCTGCACCCGAGCTCTGGTATTGCATTTGGTAGATGAGTCTGTGTCCTATCTCCCTGGCATGATGGTGAAGAATGGGTTGAAATTTGGAGTCAGGCAGGCCTGGGTGTGAACGCTGTTGCCACCACGTCCTGGGTGAGCAAGGCTAACCTCATCTTAGGGCTCCGGGCATGATCATAGTCACTTTCAGGGCTGCTCTGAGGATGATGAGAGGATGGCCTCTTGAACTGGGAAGGGCTTGCAAATGTTAGCTAATCCCACTGTTTGATAATGTGGACTGGGGACGGGGGTGGCAACTCCGATGCTTCCAGGGCCCAGGCAGATAACATGATCAGGTGAGGTTGGCATGGGCCATAGGGAGTGGTGGGGACTGTGGTCTGGAGAGGGTGTGCCCTGTCTGATATGGTGGCTACTCCTCAGTCTAGCCAATAGGTGCCAGGAGGCATCTGGGCTCAGTTGAAGCCAGTAGTTTGGATTTTTGTAGGAACATATCTCTAGTTTTCACCCTGGCCTAACAAGCAGGTTGTGGTCAGCGGCAACCCACGGCCACTTACTTGAGACTCCTTATAGACACACTGCTACTTCCCCTTCAGCTGTACTTCCCTGAACCCCAGACCCACAGCAGTGCTGAGGTCCTCTGGTCATGACCTTTGTCCCACCCCACCCACAGTGAAGGGGAGTGGGATTTCTATTGGTGTGACGTCAGCTGGCTCCGGGAGAACTTTGACCACACCTACATGGATGAGCATGTCCGGATCAGTCACTTTCGAAACCACTACGAGGTGAGCTGAGCTGGGTTGGCCGAGAGGACTGAGTGAGCCAACTTGTGTCACTGGGTGTGGCAATGAACAGGACCTGTTTTGGGATTACAAGGATCAGAATAAAAAGTGTAAGGGAATTTGGGACATGTTCCAGGTGCGGGCTATATGCACTAGATATATGATGAGCTATTTGTAACTAGAAAGAGGGAGTAAGGATCTAAGACAGCGGTTCTCAACCTTTCACAGGGGTCACCTAAGACCATCGGAAAACACATATTTTCGATGGTCTTAGGAACCGAGACACCGCTCCTCTATCCATCTCCAGGCCCACATGCAGATGCGCCCACATACGAGTACCCGGCGACCCCTGTGCAAGGGTCGTTCAACCCCCAAAGGAGTTGCAACCCACAGGTTGAGAACCGCTGATCTAAGACATGATGCTTGAGCGATTATGGTGATTTCAGGGTAGAGAAAAGTTGAGCAGTTTGGAGTCTAGAGATGGGAGGGAGGTTGGGTAGGAACTGGACCACAAAGATGGGGCTGGAGGAGCCAATGGTAGGAGATTTTAAAAGGTTAGTGCAGCTAGAAGGTTAGAAACATTAACTTTGGGATCAGACAGGCTTGGGTCAAACCCTGGCTGTGCTGCCCATTAGCTGGATAGCTCTGGGAAACTGACTCATCCTTTCTGAGCCTCAGTTTCCTCACTTGTAAAGTGGGGGTAATTATAGCAATTTCTCATCAAAGTTACTCTTCCTGTTGTGATTTTGTGGGCCAGAGAATGGAGGCTGTGGGGTAGTTGGGGTTGGGAGGTGGAGCAGGACAGCGGGCAGGAGCACTAACAGCCTGCCCATCCGTCCTGCTGCCCAGCTGACCCGCAAGAACTACATGGTGAAGAACCTGAAGCGGTTCCGGAAACAGCTGGAGCGCGAGGCAGGAAAGTTGGAGGCAGCCAAGTGCGACTTCTTCCCCAAAACCTTTGAGATGCCATGCGAGTACCACCTGTTTGTGGAGGAGTTTCGCAAGAACCCGGGAATCACCTGGATCATGAAGCCTGTGAGTGCCCAGTGCCAGCAGGGGGCGGGGGGTGGGGGGTGCTGCGGGGAGAGGGAATTTCAGGTGCCAGAGTAGGGGTCCTTCATGGTGCATCTCAGGACAGGACCCTGCCTGAGGATTCAGCCTTAGACCATCTGCCTCCCCTGAAGGGCCAGCTTCATCTCCTCTTTGTAGTGTGTGGACCCAGCAGCTATGACTGCTAGTACACAGTAGGTGCTAAATGAGTGTTTACTTGAACAAGTGATCCTCAGGACACCAGGGCAGGGAATCCAGAGGCTTGCCGGAGCTCAGATCCCTGCTTCTCTTCCTGACATGAAAGAAAACCATGGCCGAAGCTACCGTGTGTGGCCGGCAGCCAGCGTGAGCGGCCGCCAGGCAGCCGGTGTGAGCTGCCAAGAGCCGTCATGAGCGGCCGCCCAGAGACCAGCGATCGATCTGCCTCACCCGGGAAGAGCACAATAATACCAACATGGGCCAGTGAAGCGACATCCTTTACAACTAGACTGAAGAACAAAACGACAGCAACTTGTCTGTTCCCCTCCCCCAATTCTCCAATAAAACCTTTAAAAAAAAAAGAAAACCATAGCCTAAGTGTCCAGTTAGCTCAGTTGGTTAGAGTGCAGTGCTCATAACACCAAGGTTGCTGGTTCGATCCCCACATGGACCACTGAGTTATGCCCTCCACAACTAGATTGAAACAACTACTTGACTTGGAGCTGATGGGTCCTGGAAAAACACACTGTTCCCCAATAAAAATTTATTTTTAAAATTTTTTGAAAAAGAAAACCATGGCCAGGTGAGAGGTGCTGTACTTGCATTGCCCCAGGTCCGATACTGGTCCTTGGGAGGGGCTACTCCCAGCCCCATTGTAAAGGTGAGGAGTCTAAGACCTATTTATTCAAGCTTTCCACAAATACTTACCGAGCACTTGCCATGTGCCAGGCACAGAAAAGACTGAGCCAGGATTTACCCAGGCCTCCTGATCCTCCTGGTAAGCCTGCTGAAGGCCGGCACTCGCTTCCCCAGGAGGCGTCGTGTGGAAGGGAAGGCTGGGAAGCTGGAGCAGAAGGGCTTAGGCAGATGAACACTGCAGCCCACCTGTGGATTCCAGCTCCTGGCGGGCATTATCCTCTCAAGACAAATGGTAATTTGTACTAATTGGGAACGAGCAATTGCATATTAAGTTGATTCCTTTCCCAGCCCACAGCCTTTACAGCTGTAATTAAGAGGAGGAATTGTGTATGCTTGTGCGCGCCTGCGCGTCCGCTCTCCTGAGTAGCTGAGCTCCCTGTCTGGGGTACGGGGTGTGGAGAGTGGGTGCCTCTAGTCAGACTAGCCTGGCTTCTAATCCTGCATCTGCCACTTTTGATCTGTATGACCCTGAACAGGTCACTCAGCCCTTTCGGAGTCCACTTCCTCATCTGTAAAATGGAGTGAAGGAGTGTGCCGGCTGCTGGTCCATGGATGACACTTTGAGTCGTGAGACTATAGAGAAGTCATTCTCAGACTTGAGAACGGGTCAGAATTTTCTGGAGATCTTAAGCTTATTAAGGCACCCCACCCCCACAGCGTCTGATTTCCATGGTGTGGGGTGGAGCTTGCCTGTCACTCTCTGGGGATATAAGAACAAACCCTCGGGTTTGGAATTTAAAAGTCCAATCTAGAGTTACACTGCACACATCTGAACTTTTTTCCCATCAAAGCTTTCTCCCCCTCCAACAGCTCAGGCCCTCTAGGTTGGCAGGGAGGTGGGTAGGATCCAGGTGGTGGGGACCACACTTCCTCCTCCAGCCTCCCTCTTGTGTCTGGGAGGCAGGTGCTGGGCTATTAGGGCCGGGGCCTGTCAGTCTCTGTGTCTGCAGAGCTGGTCTAACACTTTACTCAGGGTTGTGAGTGTCCTGGGCAATTTGGATTGTTCTCAGCTTTGGGGGCCCCTGTCCAAACTGTAGGACAGGGAGAACAGCATCTTAACCTTGTTTCACGAGTTTACCCCCAACCAGAGCTTCTCACCCTTTTTCGCTGAAATCTCCTAAGAGTTGGGATGCTTTGGGCAGCACATTATAGAAAACCCAACTAACAGTAGCTCAAACAAGAGGGCGGGGGTTCTGAACTGGTCTCACACTTTGGGCCTCTTTAGCATCTGGTGAAATGTGTGGACCCTGTCAAAGAATAGTGTTTTAAAAAGCATACAACAAAGTATATTCGATTATAAAATAAAGCAACTATATTGAAAAACAGTTATCAAACTGTTAGTCTGGGTCCTCTGAGAAACAGTTGCCAAGGTTCAACGTGCAGAATTTTGCCTGTGAGAGAACAGAGGGAAGGAGCCAGGGAGGCTGGGGGAGCAGTCAGACCCCAGTGAGGGGAGGAAGGTTGGGTAGAAGCTCCTAGCCTGCCATGCAGCCTAAGGGAAGTCCAGCAAGGCCGAGGAGAGGCCTCGAGCCAAAGTTGCTGTCAGAGGCGTCCCCAATCTCCCAGGCGTGGGCCAGCCTTATGTCCCTGTAGTCCTCAGCTGTTGGCTGAGACCTGAGGCCTGATTTTAGCAGCATCAGCCTGGGCTCTCTGTCAGTCACCCTCGGGCCATTAGAGCTCTGCGAGTGTGTTCTCACAGCCACCACACAAACTATTAAAACATTCTTTATGCTGTGGTAATATATGTGCTTCTCATTAACAATTAGAAAGAGTCTAACAGCAGGCCTACTAGCTACCATAATTTCAAAGTCATCATAAGCATAAATGATATTTGAGATACCTGCAACAATTATAATAAGATATGTAATAACAAGTATGATTTTTTTTTTTTAGATTTTTATTGGGGAATTGGGGCATGGGAACAGCGCTGGGGAATTGGGGGAAGGGGAACAGACAAGTTGCTGTCATTTTTTGTTCTTCAGTCTAGTTGTGGAGGACATTGCTTCACTGGCCCAAATTGGCACTATTATTGTGCTCTTCCTGGGTGAGGCAGATCAGTCGCCGGCTTCTGGACGGCCGCTCACTGTGGCTGCTGGCCGCTCATGCTGGCTGCTGGCTACACACGGTAGCCCATGGCAACCCACTGCCACAGAGGCTGCAGCCTACACCGTCGCCGGCAACTCACGGCAGCCCAGCTCCAGGTTGAGCTGTTGTTCAGCATCTTAGCTGCAGAGGGCAGTGTCACTGGCCCTCATATGTGGGATGCGAACCAGGGCCCTCTGGCATCCCAAGCCAGCTCTTAACCAATGCGCCACTCGGCCAGCCCAAGTATGATTTCTTTTGAGAGCAAAGTCACAGTCATGGCCAATACTACTCTAATTTGTTGCCTGCATTCATGATGAAAGGAAATGTGAAAATCTGGCTAGGGGTTAATGAAAATAAAGATACGTTTATTTTTTCTCGTTCAAAATTACGGACCCTGGGAATTTCCTTTAATGATGAAAAATTGACTTCAGGGTTGGTTTCTTTTCTTTCTTTCTTTCTTTCTTTTTTAATTGGGGAATTGGGGGAGGGGAACAGTGTTAGCGAATTGGGGAGGGGGACCAGCCAAGTTGTTCTTCAATCTTAGTTGTGGAGGGCGCCAGCCGCCATCTGGCTGCCCATCAGCAGCTCGTGGCCTCTAAGCTCAAGGTGCTGTCTTACAATCTTCAGTTGAGGGTGGGCGTAGCCACCATCCCATGTGGGAGTCGAACCAGCAGCCTTGTTGTTAAGAGCACATGCTCTATCCACTGAGCCATCCGGGTGGCACCTCAGCTCAAGGTTCCGAGTTCAGCCTTAGTTGCGGGCGGGCGTAGCCCACCATTGAACAGGCAATCTCCTTGTTAGGAGCACGTGCTCTCACCAGCTGAGTCATCCTGCCACCTGTTGGCAGCTCAGCAGCAGCTCAGCTCTGGCACAGCGTCACTGGCCCATGTGGGAATCAAACCGGCGGCCCTGTTGCTCAGAGCTCGCGCTCTTAAGCCAACTCTTAACCAACTGAGCCACTCGGCTGGCCCTCAGGGATGCTTTCTTTTGGGTGGCTCAACATCATCATCAATCTCCAACCCAGTGGGCTGGCCGCTCCTCTTAGTCACAACATGGCTGCCACATTTCTAGCTTCACGTCCTCACACCTCCACCTGCCACAGGAATAAAAGAACACGCTGGTCTTGTGTCCCTTTTGAAGAAGACACACAAACTTACCAGAAGTCCCTGCAGTGGACTTTCCCTGTCATCCTGCCGGCCCATGCCTGAACCAATGGCAGTGGCATGGGACCACCGTGAGGACTCAGACCTCCCCAGAGGGCAAGGCCTCTGGGAAGAGGTGATCCAAATGGGCCTCTGTTGGTAGGGAAAAAAAAAGGAATGGTTGCTGGGAAGACCACCAGTCACGTCTCTAACATGGATAAATACCACAACACAATGAATGGCCCCCAGGGGCAGGGCAGGGGATGGCAGGGTTCGAAGGGCTGTGAGTGGTCACAGATGGTGCAAAATCGAAGTATGGCTCATTCTAATAATCCATGCGTATTGTTTTCCAACCAATTATATATCTTTTTATAAAAATAATATAAACATATTTTCCTCCCAAATTATCAAGTAAGATCGATACTCCAGGAAGTAGCACTGTGTTTATCATGGGATTCTGTGTATTCCTGGGCACTTTGCAAGAGGTGCGTGAGCCCCAGGCTTGTGAAGCACAGATTTAACTCTCCTGGATTTATCTGTCCCCTACTGGCTGGGTAACCTTGAGCAGAGTGCTTGGCCAATCTGTTCCTTGGTTGTGAAATGGGGATAATATTAATGCTACATATAGGTTTGGTGTTTTTTTTTTAAAGATTTTATTGGGGAATTTGGGGAGGGGAACAGCGCTGGGGAATCAGGGGAAGGGGAACAGATAAGTTGCTGTCCTTTTGTTCTTTAGTCTAGTTGTGGAGGACATTGCTTCACTGGCCCATGTTGGTATTATCATTGCACTCTTCCCAGGTGAGGCAGATCGGTCGCCGCCTCTGGGCGGACGCTCACGGCGGCTCTTGGCAGCTCACACTGGCTGCCAGCCACTCACACTGGCTGCCAGCCACACACGGTAGCTTATGGCAGCCCTCTGCAGCAGGGGCTGCAGCCTACGCCGTCGCCAGCGACTCACGGCAGCCCAGCTCCAGGTCGAGCTGTTGTTCACCATCTTAGCTGTACAGGGCAGTGTCACTGGTCCCAATGTGGGATCTGAACTGGGGCCCTGCTGCTCAGAGCTGGCGTCCCAAGCCAACTCTTAACCAACGCGCCACTCGGCTGGCCCCTGTTTTTTTTTTTTAACCTTTATTTAATGAGGTGATGTGTGTAAATCCTTGTGCGTGGTACATAGGAAACATCTGAGAAATATTAGCTGCTGGTATTACCATTGTCATGAACCATTCCCCTAAAGTTAGGGTTCTGGTTCTATTGCTACAGCCCGAAACTCAGTGGCTTAAAACAACAATCATGTCTTACTTAGCTCATGAGCCTCTAGTTTGGGCAGCACTTGACAGTGAAGGCTCATGGCTGCTCCTGCATGTGCTGGGGCAGCTCCTCTGAAGGCTGGAGGATTGGCTGTCATGCTGTCTCACTCATTCGGCTGGCCAGTTGGTGCGGGCTGTTGGCTGGGAGCTCAGTCAGGGTTGAGGCTTGGAAGACTCAGTTGCTTTCCATGTGGGCCTCTCCATGTGACCTGAGCTTTCTCACAGCATGGTGGCTGAGTTCCAAAGTGACTATCCCCAAAGAGAAAGCTGTGTGGAAGCTGTATTGCCTTTGATGACCCAGTGTTGGAATCCACACCAAGTCCCTCCTGCCACTTACATGTAGATGAGACAGTCCTGAAGGCTCACCCAGATTTAAGGGGAGGGGACGTTGACTTTACCTCTTGATGGGGGTGGGGGTAGCAAGGTTCTGGAAAAACACAGGGGACTGGAAATCTTGTTTTTGTGATTGTTTTTGGAAACTACAGTTTGCCCAGCTAGCTATTAGGTGATTTCCACTTTTAACAACCCTGAGATATCACCATGCAGGAAGTTTATTTTCCACTCTTTAGGATTATTCTCTTAGGAGGATAGTTACAAACAGTGCTTTAAATAACAAAGGCATTGCAGTATCTCAGATAATAAGAAAGCTGGAAGTAGGAAGTTCCAGGTTTAGGGATGTGCTCAACAATGCTGGTCAAAGCCTTTTTTGTCCACTCTACATCCTCAGTTTGATGGCTTTCTGTCGTCAGACTTGTCACCTCATCGGTGTGAGATGGCTGCTGTAGCTGCAAGCATCACCTCCTCAGACTGTGGTATTCTAGAAAAGAAGGAAAGAAGCCAGGCATTTCTCTGCCTCTCTTCCTCTCTCCTTTCTCCCTCCCTCGCTCCCTCCCTCCCTCCATCGACCACTCTCCCTCTCTCCCTTTCTCAGCCCCAATATTTTTAACAAGGAGGAAAATCTTTCCCAGAAGCCCCAAGCACATGTCTCCGTCGGCTTCATTAGCCAAAACAGGTCACAGGGTTTCCATTAGCTGCAAGGGAGGCTGGGAAAACAAGTACGTGGTCGTTCCAGCCTCCATCTTGAGAGGTGGGTTTGCCAGCCAGGAGAAAGAGGCAGGGGAATGGTTATGGGGAAGGCAACCAATAGGGGTGGGGCTGGGGGCTCCTAGATCAAACTGTATGTTTCTTAAAAAAAAAAAAGACTTTTAAATTGAAGTTTAATAAAACAGAACATGCCCAAATTAAAGGGGCACAGCTTGATAAATTTCCTCAAAGTGAACACACTCGAGTGAGTAACCAGCCCCCAGACCATAAATAGAGCATTACCAGCCCCTCAGCAGCTCCCTTCGAACCCTTTTCCACTCACTACCCTCCAAGTCACGAACAGCATAGATTTGTGTATCTGCTTTTGTGCTTTGTGTAATTGGAGTCATATAGTATGGCTGCACTGTGTCTGGTTTCTCTACCTCAACATCATGTCCATGTGAGTCACCCATACAGATGTGGATAATTGTAAATTGTTAATAATTATTGTTGTTTACTATTCCATTGAGTGAATAATTGTCTGTTTGGGAGTTTCAAGTTTGGAGCTATTATGAATCGTGCTGCCGTGGACGTTCCTGTACACGTCCGTGGGTGCCCATGTGCACCCATTTCAGTCATGTAGGTACCTAGGAGAGGAATTACTGGGTCATGTTCAGTTTTACTGGATGCTGCCAAACAATGTACACTCCCGCCAGCACTTGTGAGAGTTCTAGTTTCTCCACATCTTCACCAACACTTGCTATTGTCTGTCTTTCATTTTAGCCATTCTTAGGGAGTGTGTAGTGGTATCTTATTGGGGTTTTTGTTTGCATTTTCCTGACGACTAATGAAGTTGAGTGCCTTTTCATTGTTTACATTGGGTGATCCTCTTTCATGAAGTAAGTTTAAGTCTTTTGCGTGGCCATGAACTGCTGGGAGCCCCTGATGATGCACACTGATTAGTTGCTTTCCAAAACAGCTGTGCCCATGTGGTTGCCCCTGAGCCACCACATTGCTTCACAGTCTTTTGGGCACCCCATCTTCTGGGCACACACACCCCCAAACCAGGGTGCACAGCGCTGCAGGTAGGGCTCCCACTGCACCCACGACTGGGAGCCCTTCATGCAGTGGACAACCTGTATAGCCATGCCTGACAGCTCTGCCCATCCCCACGTGTTACAGAGAGCCCCACATTGACCAGTTGGACCATGCTCAGAGGAGAGCAGAGGGAAATGAGAGTTTGCACTCATTGGGCGCCTTTATGCTGGAGAAAAGATGACTCAGGGGAACCTGCTGAGTGGCTGCAGATAACTAAAGGGCTGCTCTGGAACCCAGGGATCAGTTTCGTTCTAGGAGGCCCTAGAGGCCAGAGCCAGGTGGGCCAGTTTTAGCTCAACACAGGTTAGTCTGTGAAAACTGCATTAGGTCTGGATTACTGGTAGAGCATAATGCCCAGCACACAGTAGACACCTACTATATACCTTTTGGATGATGCTTAATAGAGCTATTCTGCAACAAATGGGCTGTGTCTGGAGGCAGGGGAAGTGAACTTCCTGGCACTGTGGATGTGCAAGGCCAGGCAGGTGACCGTGGTAGAGGGATGTCACAGGAGGAAGTAATGCCTTTGGCGCCGACTGCTCTGTGTGGTAGTAAAGAGTCTCCCAGCCCCTAGACACCACGAAGCGATGAATTGTCCGTGCCGGCATTCGGTGAAGGCAGGCTGATTTCAGTATTAGCCGAAGGAAAACCTAATTAGGAAGGCAAATTGATTTCCAAAAAAAGAATTGGATGATATGTTCCCAGGACTGTTAGAAATGGTTTTTTAATTGTCTGCTCTTTTGTATTATTCATGCAATTGTAAGCCTTTTTGAGCTAAGTTGGTCTGTCACTTTGCCCTCTGCTTCTCTCTCTCCCTCCTGCCAGGCTTAGCACTTCTCTGTTCCAGCCCCTTCAGGGTTGGCCTGGGCCATTCCTCTGGGGATAGCTGGGGCTCATGAGGGAGATGGAGATGGTGAAGTGCTGGGGAGGGGCCCTGAGCATAGGGGTGAACAAGGAACCGCATAGAGCTGAGAGCTGACCTTTCTGCATCCACCCACCACGTTCCAGGTAGCCCGGTCCCAGGGGAAAGGCATCTTCCTCTTCCGGAGGCTGAAGGACATCATGGACTGGAGGAAGGTGAGCTTGCCTCTCCCCCTTCCTATCCAAGCCCTTTTTTGTCTTTGCTGGGACAAGGGGCCCCTCCTCCCTGCCCTCAAGTCTTAGAGGGCTGGCAGAGAAACTCTGCCCACAGGCCTGCCCATGGGTGTGGGGTCTCTGGAGCCAGGTTGCCTGGGTTCAAGTCCTGAACTTAATAGTTGTGTGACCTTGGGAAAATTACTTCACCTCTCTTTGCCCAAGTAAATGGGAGATAGTAATAATACCTGCTCAGAATGCAATGAGTTAATATGCTGAGAACATTGCGTTCTTTACTTGGCCCTCCTGCTCACCTGGCTGGGGAGAGTTTGACTAACTTCCTCTAGGTCCTAGACTGAGCCCAAGGTAGCTCCCTTCCTTCCCCGAGCCTCAATCCTTGTCCCAAGACATGGTATAGTAGAAATCCTGGTTCCAATCCTGCCTTCACCACTCAGAAGCTGTGTGGTTTGGGGAAAATGGCCGAACCCCTCTTAGAGATGATAACGGTGCAGGACTGGCGAGAGGAGCAGGATGACCAAACTCCTACACAACCAG